ACAGCACCTCAGGATCCTTCAGAACTCTCTGATCTGAATTCAGACGACACCTCAAATTAAACATACAAATTCACAAGTACCCCAGAGGAAAAAATTCATTAGTACACAAATATCAGTTAGCTGAAAGAAATGTCATACTAAACTAAAATCTGGTCAGATTTATTAGAGCTCAAAGCACAATATTCTGAAACAAACACATCTAAAATGGGAGAGCAAGAGCAGACACATCCAAAGAGGGGGATCCACCTATTTGATAAACACTCACTCCACTAATACTTTTACCTGGACAAGGCAGAAAACACATGGAAATGAAAACCTCAATAGTGACCTCTCACAGAAACTTCCTCACCCCAGCATGAAATATAAATTTATTATTAAAATTAGCATCATATAGCCATTATTTTCGCTATCTAGATAGATACTTTTTGTTGATCCAAGATAAGCAAAACTGGTTACTACTATTAATCTGTTACTACTTTTTCAATGTATTGTGACAAAACTTTTGTGCCCAACCTTCAAAGTCATGTAAGTGAAGTTAACACAGGTTTGTTTGTTCAACCACTGAGGTAAAAACATTCAGTAGGAAAAGAAGACCATTCAGCATCTTTGTCTTTCCAGCCCAGAAAAGTTAAACTAAAAATCCAAGTACTGGCATTACTCAGTGACTCATGTGGCCAAGGACATCCCTCCATGATTCTGAATACTCTTCTCTATTTGCCAGATTAGTTGGTTTTTAGGAATCTTAAACCAGAAAAAGACATTTTTTTTACTTGTTTTTGTCATTTTTCTTTGTCTGTATGACAAAGATGAGAAACAGTCTATCTTGTAAATATCTTTTAAAGTAACAGTACTTCCCATTATCATAGCCCTTTTCAAACATCAAAGTGCTCTCACACACGTTATCTTCCACACAAACCACCGAGTCTGGGGCAGGACAGCCCAGTCCTGAATTCTGGTTTTGACCACCTTGTGGGACCTTAAGGAATTTACTTGACCTTTCTGTGCCTCGGTTTCTTCATCTATAAAGTGGATATTCTGACAGTTCACATACCTGTCAGGATTGGTATGAGGATTAAAGGCGTTCAATAACACTCATGTGAAATCCTAACAGTGCCTCTGCCACAGCCTCTAAGGTGCTGGTATTCTACATCATTGTCATCCTTATCAATTGTCGTCTATGGGCCTCACAATGACCCTGTTAAGACAGGACATACAGTACATCACCTTCTTACCTGTTTTCCAGGTAAGAGAATCAATGCTCTGAGATATCAAGTGGCTCATGTAAAGTCACAGTTAAAACGCAGAATCAGCACCAAAGTTTCCAGAACTAAGAAAGGGCCAAGACTTCTCACTACATTGTGCTGTATCCTTCCTACCACGTGCTACAATTTTCAAGTTGACACAGTTCAACAGATTTCTAAAGACCACAATTAGCACTCTTTTAAACATTTACACATGCAAATAATTTTAGGCAACACACACTAGTTGCCATGCTGAGAATGACACTTTTTAGATATTTAATTTACGTATCTTCAAGAGCAGTATGCACTGAGTAAGTAGGATGACTGGACAAGGAGAACCTCTGATTAGTTTTCCAGTCTTTAAAATTTCTTTCACCCTCAATGAATCCCCAGCAATAAAAATAAAAAAATAAAAATTCTTTGAAATAGCAAAACGTACAGCCCAGGGAACTTCACACTTCCCTGTTACGATTTATGTTGGGCATTAGAAGAAACAACACGGCATTTAGAGTCAAAATCCAAGTCCCAGCTCCTCCTCTCACACAGACAGGGACACTCAACAGTCACGTGACTTCTCCAGGCATCAGCTACCATCTGCCCAATGAGGACCAACTCCACAGGGCTGTTAGGAGAAATGCCCACGATTACATACATACACGAAAAAGATTTGTAATTGTAAACACTACACCAAAATGTGTTTACTATTAGCTACTTTGACTACATTGAAGAATAATACTGAATATTCATTAATTCATTCATTAACCATTTTCTTTTCTTTCTTTCTTTTTTTTTTTTTTCCAGTTTTTGGCTGGGGCTGTGTTTGAACCCACCACCTCCAGCATATGGGGCCGGTGCCCTACTCCTTTGAGCCGCAGGTGCCACCCTCTAACCATTTTCTCAACATAAAAAATTGCTGGCAGAAGTCCTCAAATATAGAAGTATCACCTTGAGTATTTTGTGTAATTATTTACAACAACAATCTGGATTAATCCCTGTGACTCTTTCACAGTGAAAGAAAGATTGAGGCAAACTACATAGCATCTATTCAAAGGCCATATCCTTAAAGGAGACAGAATAAAATTTGAATATAAAAAATAAGAGAATAAGTCAAGTGACAAACACATGCATTTTTCTTTCTCTTTTTAAATAAAACAGTAATAAATATTTTCAGTTAAATCACAAGGAAATTCAGTGGACGTGTTATCATTATAGTAATCTTCACGATAATGTTTTATATTAATATGTGGGTGAGACTTCACTTTTCAAAGCATTTCACATATATCATCACAGAAATATAATAAATGTCATTCTGCTTGTTCATAAGACTATTTTTAATATGTTTATAAAACTTCCACTCTTGGGCAGTGCCTGTGGCTCAAAGGAGTAGGACACTGGCCCCATATGCCAGAGGTGGTGGGTTCAAACCCAGCCCCAGCTAAAAG